TAATATCTAGCGGAGGTGGATGGGGTTAAAAGGTTTAGCAGTCACTGCTGTGTCTAGTTTTCTCTGAATGAGCTCTTACTTCCTGCTGTGAAAGAACCTTAGGGACGAGCGTGTTTAGGCAACAGAACAATTACATGTTGTCACTCTCGCTAGTCGGCAACAGAAATACTAGTTGGTTAGATTTTTTCTTAATTTCATGCTTATTGGTTAGTCTGAATTAAATTCTGTGCTTGACTTGACTCTTCATGTCTGGATGTTTACCGTGTGGTGTGAAACTTTTAGCACTGAAGTTGTAATAAATAGTAAGAGTTCATGTTCTGAGCAGTGTAAGTGAGAACATCATTCTGCTTTATCATCCATTCAGAAGAAAACCTTTTTATTTAAAAATCTAACGTTGTGAAAATCCTCTCAAGCACTGCTTTTATTTTCTAATTTTCTGAAATGTTGCAAAGGTATATCAACAAAGGAAAGACCTACTGGTCTAATGGAAATATTAAAAATTAGATTTTTTCATGACGGCACTGATATATAACAGGAATCTAGTTTTACTTAAGTGTCTGCACTCTTCAGATCCTTAAACATGACATTTTAAAATCCTGCTGACCCACTTTGAGTTTCCTGACAAAATTGAATCATTCGCGTGACCACAGAAACCTTGTTGCTTTCTTCTCTGAGTTTGTTAAATCCTTTTAATGTGACTCTTCTCTGAAAGAAATCCAACGACATTAACCCTGACTATCAGTCTGTTCAACGTGGATATCAAATTGTTTTTTTATATGCAACTGCAGAGCAGTTAAAGTCTACATTTTTAAATGTTACACTGCCTACATGCACAGATGGCAAGCTTACATAAGTTTGCATTATTCCTTACAACTTAACAAAAAGCAGCAAACTTGATATTTCTTGTTTACAGCAGCATGTAACGAACATTCATGTGATGTGCAGTCAGATGTGTCAGTATGGACAAAGATGATTTCTGTAAAGGTGCTCTGATGCTGATTTGGACTTAAGTCAAACTTAAGTCTACACCTGACTTCTTTTCTGGTATTGACAGAATTTTGGGTTTTCTGTGCTATGCGAGATTCATCCTGCATCTCAGTAAATACCTTAATAGGAAAATGACATCATAGCTGAAATGAATTATGGGTAGAAGAATGAAAATGAAACTGGAATTATAGAAAGTATCCTGGATTTTTCTTTAAGCTAACAAAAGCTCTTCTGATGGACTGTCCCCTCTGTCTTTGTGCTGTCTCTGTGTGTCCATTCTGCCCAGGTGTTGGCGTGTGTCTGTGTGTGAGTGTGTCTGTGTGTGAGTGTGTCTGTGTGTGAGTGTTCGTTCTGAACAAAGGAACCTGAGAAGAAGATGATGTCATCTTTTACTGTTGTGTGACCGTCTGTGCGTTGGCAGTTGGGGGGGATTCTGTAATTATTACAGTCTGCAGTCTGAGGTCACCTTCCTCACACACGCAGAGAACACACACATCTACACACACACACACACACACACACACACACCAGAATTTTTCATCGTTTAGACAGCATCATGTTGATTATTTCGGTTCGAAACAAAAATGTCTCAACATGATGGGAAAAATCGACGATGCAGTGTCTTTTTCAAAATAATAAATGTCTTTGAGGTTAAACTGCAAGACAGAAATGTCAGAACACACCTAGATCTATCTTGTCTGTAATCAACCCCAAGAATGTAAGAATTAATTTATTGTTAAATAAATAGTGCGTGCGTGCGTGCGTGCGTGCGTGCGTGCGTGCGTGCGTGCGTGCGTGCGTGCGTGCGTGCGTGCGTGCGTGCGTGCGTGTTTGAACGCTACAGGTAGGACAAATGATGTTCAATGATGTTCAAAATAAGCTGAAACAGGCTGGTATACGTATTCATACCCCCACACAGCATACACACACACTCACACACATGCAGATACACACAAACACAGAACATTGTTAAGCAGCGATATTGCGGTCTGACTGAATAGAGGGGCGGTGTCAGGGTTCTTATACTTTGTGTGTGTCGGTGATGAGTGCATTCAGCAATGCAAAGTGAGTTTTTTTGTGTGAATTACCTTCTGTGCGAGTGTGTGTGGGATGTAAAAAATGCGATGACTCAGCAGTGCTACAGTACGATGGGTACTGGAGTTTAATAGAGCCTGATGGAGGTCAGTGTGTTGGCCTTCTGCTGCTGAAAAAGAACAGAGAAAACCGCTCTCGGTTCTTATGGCTGATATGTTGGCCAAGTTTGTCCGAACAACATGATTCTCTCAGATTTGTGTTTGTCACGTTGATAAATTTAGATCTTGTGTTTGCGATCCCTTTTTACGATCCAAGACCTCCTAAGATACATGGTGCTTTAGCTGTCTTAATGCTACATAAAAGAGCTAGTTGCTAACTTTGTTCGTCAGCTGGCGGTCCCTGAGGGGTACGGATACAGTGTTTGTGGGGGGGGGGGGGGGTCATTGTGGCTTACAGACTATTTAAAAGCCCATCTAGGGATGAACATTGCATATTAGCACATTAGGCTATAAATGCCGTACTATTTCGCAACGGTTTACTTGCTTCATACTTTTGTCCCTTTACAAATAAACATGAAATATTAAGATACAACAATGACGTAGTCTCAGTGATGTTGTCCTCCTTACTTTTGGTCAGTCTAGAAACAGGCACAGAGGTAGAGCTGAGGCTAAGCTTCCTGGCGAATGGCTACATCGTGACCACCTGTCAGTCAACTTAGCCATGTCCCTCATTAAGCAAATTTATGAGCTATTCTAAGGCTATATAAAATAAACAGATGAGTTTAAAAAAAAAAAAAAATGCACCCCCTTGCCAGAGTGTGCCATTAAAGACATAAGCTATTTAACCCCCAAAAAAATGTTAACCAAGCTGTAAGCGTTTTTATTTCTGCTGTCAAAATATGCATTTTAATATTGGACTTAATGGGTATTTGTGGTGTTTTGAGCTGGCCTCAAGTGGACACTGAAGGAACTGCAGATTTTTGCACTAAACGCTGACTTCTTTTTATAACACTGTAGGTTTCTGCTTGCTTAAAACAAGAACTGCTGCTGTGAGTGAGGTTGATGGAAAGTGCTTAATACCAAAACAATGAGCTCAAAGAGGCTAAAAAAATAATAAATAAGAGCTACAGTAGTGGTGATCATTCGCTGCCCTTTACTTCAACCAACCCCTCCCTCATATAAAGTAGAATCTGTTGGACTCATTTTATGTTAAACCTGCTTTTTAAGACTTCAAACTCAAAGTGCTTGATATGATTTAGTTTCCTGACAGCTTTTGACTTTCCCTGTGAAGTCTTATTTTCTCTTCTCTGAAACTTCTCTGTTTGTCTCTCCCTTCCACTCCTGTTTGTCCTCTCCCTCGACTGTCACTCCTTTCCTTTTGTTTTTAGAGCCGATATCGTTCAACAGAACATCAGCCCTCCTACACTTTGTTATGCATCACTATTGTTGCCAGTTTTCCAGTACCTAAACTCCTCCATAGACTGTCACATGGCTTTATACATCATCTTTACTTTTCTTTTATTCTCTTTTGGCTTTTTGCATCATGAGTTTTTCCTCGGGTTAGCTTCACTCTCCTTCTCCTCCTCCACCTTTACGTTCCCGTCCTCATGTTCCCACAGAAAGAGAGCAGCAGAGATTTGCTTCCTTGAGATCTTTGCTCTCTCAATCAACCCTGACCTTTTGGCCAAGCTCTTCCTACACACACACTCACACACCTACACCTACACACACACACACACACACACACACACACACACACACACACACACACACACACACACACACACACACACACACACGTCCCTTTTGGCTAAACCAAAATGGGTTAATCCCTCATCACTCAAACCGCGGACTGGGCCAGCTTATTCAGAAACGGGGGGGGGGGGGTCGTGGCTCAGGTGTCTCAGTCCTGTTTCACACAAAAGAAACTTGATCATGTAGCGGTTGAGACACACATGCACTCACATAATCTCCTAAAATGATGCAGACATAAAGGTTTGCAGAGGCTTAAAGTCACACGTTCTCTCCCTGCCTGTTGGTTTATCCTCTCCAGTTTTTCCATCTGTGAAAACATTTAGGTTGATGATATTAACGCAAAGAGGTAACTTGGCAGTGAAGTGAAGGCAGGTTTTAAGAAACAGGATCTCTGATTATTGTTGTCGGGTTTCAAAGGGGAACTTTACCCGGCTTGTTTGTTCCCACATACACAGTATTTGACTCAACAACCGGACTCACTATCTAGTATTAAATACTGTTACTGAAACAAATATAAATCATGGTATTTTATGTTCTGTTTTTATCTTTGTCTATTTTTGACCTGGGTTTAATGTTCCCCTCTGACAAAACAACTGGCCCCAGTTTGGCCCCCTCAGTAAAAGTGGTCTAGAACCGCCACTGGTTCAGGTAACGCTCCTTTCCACATTGTTCGTTTTTGAGTAGAATCGTATCAAAGCTTTAAAATCAGGCATCATGACAACCCTATAGTGTATATGGATGTGATATGGTGAATATGGACTGACCTTTGGCCCGGCCTCTGTCTTCACATTTTTTTAAAAACATCCCATCATCTTGATTCAAACTTTGTGAAAATCAAGAACTGTGGATCTTTGTCTCTCTTTAACCCAGCACTGGGTGTATTGGTTTGAAGTTCAGCTGTAGTATTTGGGCTGTTGCGGTCTGTGTTGTGCTCAAAGCAAATTATTTATCATGGAATTGTTATCAACCAACCCAATCCTCATGTCTGTTAACTTGGTCTATAAAACTACTGCCTAAAAGGTGTAATTAGTTTGCTTCCATCAATTTCAAAGGGTCTGTTTCTTTTTAAATTGTTTCCACCAACGTTGAAAGAGAAAATAATTATTCTCATTGTCGTATTGTTCCCCTCCTTGTCTAATAATTGAGTTTGAACAGACGTCACTCGTCAACAAAAAATTGAATGTTTACCTTTCTCTTATCTCTCCTTTTTTTTTCTCTCTTCAGGGTCGACATGTCAAGACAGGACAGCTGGCCGCCATCAAGGTCATGGACGTCACCGAGGTCAGTAAACACTGCTGGATGTATACTTTAACTTTTTTTTTTGTTGTTAGTTGCTATGGAGACTGATCTCACTCGTGTGTCCAAAGTGAGACATGTCTTTAAAGTGTTGCAGAGGAGTATACAGCAGAGATGATGAGATAGAGAAATCTGACATTTCTCTTTGTTTCATGTCGATTTTGAGCACTTTACAGATCTGAAGTCTTGTCTGCTGCTATTTTTAGTCTCTTGAGTTCATATTAAAGTCGTATGTTTCATGTACTGTGGTTAATTTGTTGAGCCTCATTGCATCGCACTCTGTGGTATTTTGCATTCATCGATTTTGCAGATCTTTTAACCTTAGTCAAGCAAAGGAATTAGTCCAATATTTTGACTTTTTTATCTCCAAATTTTGTAATTTATCAACTGCATGACTGTAAAAACTGCTGCACTGCATTGTGTAAGGTTCATGTTATGAACGCTAAAGTTGATTGCATTCTCACCAAAGGTAGTGGTGCTTAAATCAGAATAGTTCTTCTGTTCACGTAGTCGTTTGAGAGGTGTTACAGTTTAGTTAAACACAGCTACTTCATTATTTCCACACCTGAACACAGTCTGAATGGGTTCATTTAAAATGCATGAGGAGAATGTAAAACAGCAGCTGTAGCAGTGACCAGACTTACCAAAGCAGCTAAGAATTCAGATGTTGCAGATTTTAACCGCGCTTCTGAGTCGCTTCTGTCCATATAAATCCTAACTAACTCCTTATTCAAGAGTTAAGTTAAACAGTTCAGACTTTCCATGTAACTGTCAACGTTTTCTCTCCATGAATAATCATAATTTTCATGCTTATAGTCCCACAAAAGGCCAAAGTTCATCCTAGTTTCTTGTCCGAGAATGACACTGTTTGAAGCACAAAAGATTTTAAGTTTCCTGGAGGGATTTCAGCTAATAGATTAAAGCTGAGTGTGTGACACTGGTGTGTGTGTGTGTGTGTGTGTGTCTGTGTGTGTGTGTGTGTGTGTGTGTTCTGGAGCCCATGGGTGCATGCTTATCAGCTTTAACAGAGTTGAGTCAGGAGCCAGGGGGCTGTTTCTGCTGTGTAATCAGAGTTTGTGTTCCTTTGTGTGTGAACACACAGAAATGTCGTGATAGCCTTATAAAACGACATCTCACTGCGTCCATGGGGGAGAAAGTGACTTATTCTCTCCACTTCGCTTGTTGTGTTCTCATTGTTAAGTAAGTAAAGTATTTCACAAACACATAGTTGAGGCCACTTGACCATTTCCTGCCCAGACGCCTTAAAGAGGACTTGAGTGTGTCATCGAGACTGTCACATCAAACTCTTTAATCTGGGTCAACTCTTATATGGAAGAGGATTGTACGTCTGTCTTTAAGGGCACGGTCACACTGGCTATCCGTAGTGTGCCCAAGCACGCTTCAACCCTAAAGTCCAGTTTGTTTGGCCAGTGTGACCGCTCTGTGCCGGGCTCAGGCACGGTACACTTCCTTGGCTTTGGCACACTTCGGAGAGGTGTGCTTCAGCACGGTACACTTCATGCACGAGCACACGGGTACACAACGCTGACAGCCTTCATTATGGAGAAATCCAGAGTTTCATGGCTGTATCTGACTAAAATGACACAATATAAGACACAAAGTAGCTGTCATGTTCTCCGTGTTGTTCTCTGATGTGCAGCTGTGGAATCGGCCGTGCGTCTATTTTATTTTTTAATTTCTTTATGGCTGTGTCTGATTAAAATGGCTTAAATTAAGCAGCAAAGTCAGTAAAGTAGCTGTCATGCTCTCTGTTGTTCTCCGATGTGCAGATGCGGACTCGACTGTGCTTCCCTTTTCTTGTTTCTGGCTCTACATGCGAGTTGTTTTTTTGTTAACTTCCAAAAAACCAAAGAGAAAACTTTGACAGTTAAAGAGTGTAGTAACCTGCCTGGGTGTGTTGGTATAATGCTTTAACACCTTTCAGATGCAGTCAAAGCTCAACCTATCAGCTAGCAGCTACCTTCAGATTAATTGGACCCAATTTGGTGGTGATGGCGTGTATGCACTCTGAATATTGTTTACATGTTGCAAATCACACAGCATTTCTTTCTCATATCATGCAGGCCTAGATGACAGATGTAGATAACAGCAACTCCCAAACAGATCAATACTGTCTCACCTACACATGTATTCAGGTGTCGAGCTGTTCAGGGATCAGATAAACAGCACAGTTGCTCAGTCAACCTTTATGTTACAGCGTTGTTGTTGTAAGCCAATATAAAGCTGTAACTTTGTCTGTCGGCACACATCGACGGTGGGTCGTATACAAATAAGATGCTGTATGGCTGACAAATATAAAATGAGATGATGAGATGAGAGAAGATGATGACTTGATCCCTCATCAAACTGCTGTTCCTCGAGTGTCCACTTGAGGCTGGCTGCAGAAGCCTCTGAAGCTTGCAAGCAACCAAAAATGCTCCATTTCAAACTGTGCAGATTACTGAGAGGACATGAAGAAGGAAAAGGAACGTTCGATGTGAATGTGTTTATGTATTCATGTGAGCTGAACGACTGAGGAGAAATGCACATGTCGGGAATATTCAAAACATGGCGGTTAATTCTATCTCAATGTTTACAGTGGCCCTTTTCCTCCCGCTTCAGACTTAAATAAACACTCAAGAGTTTGTCGGGATGTTTGCCAAAAAGCACAGTCAAAAAGAGGAAGTTGTTTGCACTGGAGAAAGATTTTCACGTGCATACACACATCCACATGAATCCTGTGTAGATTCATTACAACACAGCAAACTTCTGTGTGTGCTCATGTCCACTCTCTGCTCCCTGTGCACATCTCAGCATATGTGACCCACATTCAACTTCCTGTTCCAGAGAGAGAGAGAGAGAGAGAGAGAGCGCTAGTCTATGTTAACCAATCTGATATCTCAGAACCACTCAGATACACTCATGTCTCCGACCAAATCACAGCTGTGCTTATATTCAATAAAAGATAACTTCCTCTGGTTGATATTTTGTTTAAATCTACTATTAAGTAGGCTATCTGTGCCAAATATAACTCAAGAGGGGTTTGTCTTCAATTCCTCGTACATTATATCAAATCGAACACCTTAGCCAGTGATGCTTTATCAGATGTGACAGCCCTTTGCACTTCCTGTGTGAGAGACTCAGGAAGTGCACCTACTCACTTTCTAGCACCTGTGTCTGCTGCTCTTCGGCTATAAGCAGCTGCAGTTTCTCTCTCGCTTCATGGGTATATGATTTGAGGTTTAGGTTATTTTACTTTGTTCAGCACACTTCTCTTTATACACATTCAACTTGCTAGACATTACTGACAGTATTTAAACATTTGGCCTTTTTTGATGGAAGATGGTTAACTAAAACTTTAGTGATGTCATGCGTCTCTCTCCTTTGTCCTTCCCTTGACGTTGGTCGTGACACTTGAAGATTGAACAATTAGAAGACTTCATCTTGAACTTTTAGGGAGTAGGGATGGACATTCAGTTTTTCCTATTTTGTCATAATTGCAATAGATGTTTCTTTTTCTGGCATGTTGGGCTTCTTTTTGTGTGTTTTCATCCAGACTCAACAAAAGCTGAATCAACCAATCAGGAGGTTTAATGCTCGGATCAGCACAATGCTTTGTTCAGATTTGGGGGCATGCATGAATCAGCACGGTTAGTGGGGATTCAGACTGAAAACAGCGCTGTGTTCATCAGCACATTGAGCTGAGTGTTTGAATGTGCTGGTGAGACAGTGCCATACAATACAGGGAGTGTAGAATAGATCATGTGTTTTAATAATTATTATCAGGTTTTGGAAAAAAGTGCACAAAAGCTGATTGTAAAACTCAGAATAGCAGCTGAGTGTTTTCAGAAATCTATAAACTTTACATCAGGTTCATTATTTAACCACAGCGCTAAAGCAGCGCCCTGTCAAATTCTATTTTTAATCTATTTTTTTGATTAATCCGCAAGAGCTCTTGGCATAAGGTCTCAGGTTTATATTTTTGTGTTTGATAGTTATATCTATGAAGCTATCTTACGTTGTATATCAATATACTGCCGCACTAATCTTTTAATTGTGTTAAAGTATCTATACTGTGTCTCTGTCCGGGTGGTCAGAGAATAAGACGGAGAGGTAGGAATCGAGGGAGTGCTACTTAGACAGAGCGAGCGGGAGAGCTCAGATAAGGAGAACAAATCAGCAGAGAGAGTTTCTTGCCCTCTCCGTCATCCTGTGAGACGGTTCAGCCGAAGTGCAGTGGGATTATGGGAGGGGCTACTGCTGCGCGTCTCCTTCGCTCCTCACCTCCATTGCATACACCTCCCAATGTCCTTTGTTGTGCACCCGTCGTTTTCATCGATAACGTTCCGTTTTTCTGTCGTAATGATTTTCTTCCTTTCTTTTTCTTTTTTATGCACACACCTCCTGCTCGTGTTCATCGTCTTTCCATCCTCGCCATCTTTCTTTCAGTCACCGCCTCAGACTGTTTTCTGGGGGAAGTGAGAGAGAGAGAGAGAGTAGACAGAGGGAGTGAAGTCATCGTCATCTCTTACAGAAAGCAGATAAATAGATGCAGAGAGAGAGAGAGAGAGGGGTGCAGCAGCTCTGCATTCAGAGTCTCTCTGCTGCTGTTTACTGGAAGTCATCCAGCGGGATTCAATCGGGAGAGAAAAAAAGATCGATCTTGATTAGCGAAAAAACTCCACAGCCAGCGTCTTTACTTCCACCCTCCTGGCCTCCCGGGGATCGAAATGCTTTTCTCACCAGATTCTCTCTCTCGCCTGTTATTCTCTGTCTGTGTATTTTGCACCTGAAACAAATAGTCAGAGTACAAGTCAACTCTCTCTGTCTCACCTCCCACCTCCTCCCACTGCTCCCCGTCCACTCAGAAGGTGTGAAAGTGAAAAGTGGGAAGGTGTAGAAGGCGAAGAATTGCACGTTTGTCTTTGAGGAATAAAGTCGGTCGTTGTGTAACGAGGGGGTTGTGGAAATTGCAATGTCACTCA